GTAGGGGGCCAGACGGAAAAGCTCTTTGTTGTGACACAGGTGGCGGTAGGCCTACGTCGCCCGCCCGTCGTAGGCCTAGGTGCCTCGTCCCAGCTGGCTGACCTTCACCCCCCCCCTCACCAGCCCGAGACCTTTAATAGGCTCGGGTGCTGTGGTGTCGAGGACGTGGCTGGCGCCTGTGGAGACAGCTGGCCTTCAAGCCACTTGTGTCCTCCTTTTCAACCTGCACGAGGCACTTTTCCTCTTAATTGTCATTCCGAGGGGCCTTCATGACGTATGGTCCATTAGCATTTAGTTAAAATCACTGAGTTTAAGCACAATAAATGATTTTTATGTAGTATTGGCCAAGTTCAGGTTTTCATTGTTGAAGACAACTTGTTTGATGACCTCCCTTCCCCCCCTTTGTCTGTCATATGATTTACACTGGGCTGTGCCGTCACTTAATAGTGATCTCTTCATGTTTTCCTTTAGATTCAAGGGTTGGTTTACTTGTTGAGCCCAGCATTTCCCCAGAATTTTATTATACCTTCCACGGCTCTCGGGGACAAGACTGTCGCCTTCTGTTGGGATGGAATCCAATGTTCAGCGATGATGCGATGGTTCTAGTTTCCAATTCGGCAAACGGTATTTGTTAACGAGAGCGATGCACCCTCCAGAGACGATGTACCAAAACCAGATGTGGGAATCTTGTGAGGCCAAAAATCCAAACCTAACTTTTCCTATGTTCTATTTATTTCCTAGACAGGGTAGGGGGGGGGGGTCAAGCCTTTCCTCCCCTTTCCTGTTTTTAGATAAATTGAATGTTTATTATTTTTTTCCCTCTCCAACAAATGTTCAGTTTCCAAACTAGAGCACATCTAGTAAATCCAAACCATATCAGACCTTTTGTTTATCAGTGGATGTGAAGGCTAGAAGACCTGTTACAAGTATTATGTACCTACATTCGACGGTCTGTTTAATTCCTATTTTCACCAATATTACCGTGAAAGAATATCAAGTGGAAAGAATACGTGTTATTATATAGGGTTTATATCCAGCTCGATAACTCTGATGCATGCAGTATGCTGTTCTAGGGTTGGGGGAGTTGCTGGGGGAAAGTAGTTTTACATTTGAGTCTGTATTATGGATGGGGGTAAGGAATAGGGGTTCCTTATCCCCTGGTTTGGTTCTTCCTCTCCCTCTCTGTTCTTTTTTCCTTTCATTATGTATGTATATCATCGCACATTATTTTGTAGGAGACTTGAAAGTTGTCTTCTGCTAAAGAAAGTTCTATTTATTCAGAAAAGATGTGTTTCTGATAAAGGATTAGTCTACTTGTGATGCAGATTATCTAGACCACCTCTAGCAATTATGTCAGTGGGTGTTAAGGTGGTAGAGTAACAAGAAACCATTATTTTTATGTTGGTGCTTAAACAAAGACAGACGAACCTTGTCAATGTAATTTCTGGCAAGCTAAGAGCTTGTAAACCCTACCATGGAATTAGTCAAAGTTCTGTCATGCACGGGCAGACCTAGGCCTGATTGAGCTTTGTTGGCCTTGGGGGAACTAGAGATTACTTGTTTGTTTCTTCCTTTTGTAATGATTGTGTGAAATTGCAGAAGTATCTTGTGTGTTACTCTGATAAGCAATATATGGAATTGAATTTTTTGTTTGAGTTTCAGTACATTCAATGCTAGTTTTGTCTTTTGTGACTTTATTTTCATCATGCATCAGCAATTTACTTTCAGATATGGAATTGGTACAAGCTATATCTTGCTAGAATATATATGTAGTAGGATTGTTTGGATTTACGAGGACTTTGGAGATGTGTAGGCCACAGCAATCACTTGTCTGCATCTGTCATTAGGTTTATTTTTTCTGTGATTTAATTTTCAATTTGCATCATGGATTTGGTTGATGAAATGTGTCTTTGGATATATGAATTCCTTGTCATGTTCATGAATATACAATATTTATGTCAAAAGTTACATTTGCATACAGTAATGCAAAAAAAAAAAAAAAAAAAAAAAATGTTGCATGCAATAGTGAAGCTCCTAATGTATGTATGAATATGAATGTTAATCTGTTATCTTCAATCTGTCTCTCTATGTCTGTCTGTCTGTCTATCTATCTGACTGTCTATTTATCTGTCTATCTATCTTTGTGCTTCTATTTATCTACTTTTCATTTATCACCTGATAATAAGAATGGCAATGAAATCAGGGATATTGTTCAGATGAATCACATTATCTTACAAATTTCTGGATGGCGATAATACATCCCTTTTTCACTGATTTTATGTTACTGATAATGTTTAGTCGACATAGATGGCGCCACCAGAACTTATTCAATTATTAGTCCTGCCTGATCTCACCTGTTAACCCCTTTAACATGAATTTTGGAAAGATTTTCATTTTTATTAAATGTCTTGTTACTGTTATTATTGATTAAAAAGCATGGTAATCCCAATGTCATTGATAATGATAACAGAAAGAAACTTCTTGGTGCCTAGGGACCTGTGGAGCCATCTATGTGTAAACAAAATTTACAAAGTAAAATACAGTCGGCATTACAGTTGCCTAATGCTTTAATGAATAAAACTTTGGAACGTCAATAGAGAATAGATTGGTAGGGAGCCTTTACTAGCACAACTTTACAGAACAACTGGCTAACCACCCTTCCCTCTACATTTTCAAATCCCCTATGTTAGCCAGCCCCTTCCTTGGCACTCTTGTGGCACCCTCTGCATCTTGCCAAGGCATTGGTACTTGTTATCTTTGACCTCTGACCTGACCTGGTATCCACAGTGGCAGTGACTGCTTACTGCATATTTGTGAGTATGTTGAATGGCAGTGGGTAGATAGTGGGCATGTGAAACTGAGGGCTCTTTATAGAAAAATACCGTATTTCAGATATATGAAAATTAGGATCATAATTCTGTGGTAGTTTGTGATAGACTGATGACAAGGTACCAGTTTAAGAGGTCCTGAATATATATATATTCATCCATATTTATTGTATATAATACTCTTTTTATTTCATTGATTAGACTAATATTGATTTACTCACACTGGCAGTGAGTAAATTACTTGGATACCAGCATATCCAATTACTTGGATATGCTGGTAAAGGTCCTGAGGAATACCGAAGAAACACTATTTGATTTGAAAATCATTGTAGAATGTAAAAGTAAAACTGTAGTCACCTATCAAAGTCCATGAATCTATTCTTGCTCATTTAAGTCCTGTGCCATGGCCTCTTAGTTTATGCTGCAACAGATCGGGCTGTCAACTAAGTCATCAGTTCAATCTTTGCCTTGCGGATTATCAGGGAATATTTCTTTGCCTTTCTTTGTTATAGTGTGGAGTGAAAAGATACAGCATCAGTTCTTATCACATTACGAATGGCTAGGCCTACCATAAAATCAAAAGGATCAGAAAGTGCTTATCATTTTATCTGATAATAATTGATCTTGCTAGTAATTACAGTATCTGTTCATTCAAAGACAGTAAATAAAAAAAAATGTCAAGTCAAAAGCCCAGTAAAAAAAGCAATATAGTTTTTGTTATGTCAAAAGCCCATTAGATACATTCTTTAATGATAGTGTATGAGTAATGCCTGCTTTTGCCAGCACGTAAGAATAAAGCCTGTCAACAGTATTTTTAAGTGGATGAAATGTTTAGTGTATCAGATAATGAACACCTGTTACCCAAACACATTGCAATAAGCTGTATTCATTGCCAGTTTGTTCATTGTTGATTTTTGTTGTCATGATCCTTGCATTCTCAAATTATTTGTGTGTTCATATTTGCTGGTTGGTTTAGCGCTGAGACTGTCAGGTTATAAGTAATGTATTTTGTTAAAGTATGAACACAGTTTACAACATAGTATATATCTGTTTTGCTGTTTACTATCACAAATATGTATTAGAGTTCAGGCAGTTGAAGATCTTTATCCCATGACCATTTTTCCATAAAGACAAATAACTTCTGTTGTTATACTGAAATTTTATATATACACAGCTGATTTTTTAAAAATTCAAAAGCAGATGTAGTTTGCTTTGTAACTTGTATTGTGACAATTCACACACACACACACACACACACACACACACACACACACACACACACACACACACACACACACACACACACACACACACACACACACACACACACACACACACACACATCCTCTCTCACTCATCCTCTCTCACTCATCCTCTCTCTCTCTCTCTCTCTCTCTCTCTCTCTCTCATCTCTCTCTCTCTCTCTCTCTCTCTCTCTCTCTCCTCTCTCTCTCTCTCTCTCTCTCATCCTCTCTCTCTCTCATCCTCTCTCTCTCTCATCCTCTCTCTCTCTCATCCTCTCTCTCTCTCATCCTCTCTCTCTCTCATCCTCTCTCTCTCTCATCCTCTCTCTCTCATCCTCTCTCTCTCTCATCCTCTCTCACTCTCACTCTCACTCTCACTCTCACTCTCATTCTCATTCTCACTCACGCACACACACACACACACACACGCACACACACGGCACACACACACCACACATCACACACACACACACACACACACACACACACACACACACACACAACACACACACACACACACACACATCCTCTCTCACTCATCTCTCTCACTCATCTCTCTCTCTTCCTCTCATCTCCTCTCTCCTCTCTTCTCTCTCTCTCTCTCTCTCTCTCTCACATTCTCCTCTGCTCTTCTCTCTCTCTCCTCTCTCATCCTCTCTCGCTCTCATACCTCTCTCTCTCTTCATCCTCTCTCTCTCTCATCCTCTCTCTCTCTCCTCCTCTTCTCTCTCATCATCCTCTCTCTCTCTCATCCTCTTCTCCTCTCATCCTCTCTCTCTTCATCCTCACTCTCACTCTCACTCTCCTCTCCTCTCCTCTCATTCTCATTCTCCTCACTGCACCTACACCACACCACACACGCACACACCCAGCACAACACACACACAGAACCACCTACACACCACACACACACACACCACCACACACA